GTATGGAAGAAATGAATGCAAAAATTTGGTCGGAATACTTGAAGGAAGATTCTACTTGTGAGACCTGGGTGAAGATGTTTGGATAAAACAGATGGGAGAAAATCTTTCTTTTCATCAAAACAGGGGTAGACTCTGCTTAAAATGCTGGAAAATCGAAAATTCAGTGCACAAATAAGTAACCTGAAATTGGTTACTTTATTTCCTACGAGATGGCACGTGTAAACGATAGTAAAAAAATAACAAAGTACGCGCGCCCTGTTCTTCACATTTTATTTAGAACAAAACATCTGACTTCCAAAGTGGGCCCCTTGTCAACGCGGTATGGTACATCTTTCGGTTGTGAATGAAGTAGACGGATTAGAAATCAATCGACATCTTGAAATATGGAGAACACGGATTCTCGAATAGCCGACGAACTTCTTCAAGCTTAGGGTTGGGCGGGGTAACAACCTCTCATCGTAAACGACTAGCATTTTGCGAAATGTCACAATATTTTCATTTGCGAGAACATTTTTAACGACGCGAAGGCATGAAAATAGAGAAGGATTTCATCGTTTGTGTATATAATTCTTACACACTCAGTAGGAATCAGTATTTCTTCAATTCATTACAATGCGTGTTCTTTTTTCTTTTTTCCAGGAGTCCATTATCCGAAGAAGCACTTTCTTCAGCCGCTACACCAGGCTGCAGAAATCGAAAGGCGATGGCGAAGACCGTAGGACAGCGAGTCAAGAGCTTTTTACGTGGGAATCTCCTAACATTTCTCACTGTTATCGGAGTTTTTGGTGGCGTTATCCTCGGAGTTATTTTGCGTAACTCACGAGATGGAGAATGGACGCAGAGAGAGATTATGTATGTGTCTTATTTCGGAGACATTTTCCTTCAGATGCTGAAATCTCTTATTCTGCCTTTGATTGTCGCATCGATCATCACCGCGATTGGTGGATTAGATTTATCTCTTTCTGGAAAGATTGGAATTAGGGCAATTGCTTACTATCTGTCCACGACTGTATCTGCTGTTGTCTTAGGCATGATACTCGTCAGTACTATTCATCCGGGAGAAGGAAATGCCTCGGAAATCCACAAATCAGGGACGTCTAGAAATGTCACAACAGTTGACACTCTGCTCGATCTAGTCAGGTACGTATTTTGCCAGTTTTAATGTAAGATTTTATTTATTATATTTAGTAACTACAAACAGTGTAATAATTTCAATAATAAATAAATAAAACAGCAGTGTTTCGACTGATTTATGCCATCATCAGGCATTATACATAAAAAGTAAAGTAAAGTTTGTCCCACTATACGCCATATAGGCGCTTGGGGGGAGTGGAGGTATAGCTCCTCTCTTCCTTGACCTCGGCACTAGATGGGGTGAGTGGTCAGCATCACGCCCCGGCCGGCTTTACCCCCGGGAAAGGACCCCGGTACCCATTGTAGAGGAGGCTGGGTGGACCCCAGACCGGTCTGGACGCAGAGGCTAGAGGAAAAATTCTTGCCCCCGTCGGGGATCGAACCCCGGTCACCCAGCCCGTAGCTAGTCACTATACTGACTGAGCTATCCCGGCTCATAGGCATTATACATACAAACCGCAATTAAAATTCATCACAGCAGAATTCTCATACTTATGTGGTGGTGATTTAAAAGTGATTAAAATAATTTCGTATGTAAGGAATTTACATATTTTTTTTTTATATTTTTGCACGTTAATTTTTCATTAATTTCAATATATTTAAGACAACTTTGGTGGGATTCGACGTGAATCTCTTGTGCTACTAACACCGAAAATGATGTATTAGGGAACACAAAAAATTTCAGACACGCCTGCCACAAGAACGAAGACTATATAAACAAAAGAATTACGAGTTTTTGAGGTGACGAGCTAATAATTTGCCTCAAACTATAACTTCGTTAACTACATTGAAATTTTCTGACGATAGAAACTATGGTTAAGCGGGAAAGTTGCTTAAATTAGGGTTATAATAAGGTACCAGTCAAGAATACTGTGAACCTCGATCGCTCCGACATTGGGATCGTGGATTCGAACCCCCACTCAAGACATGGATGTTTGTTTTTCTGTGATACCCCGTCCTCTATAGGCAGAGGCCTTGCGATGGGTTGATATAGTTCAGTTGTTTCCTAAGAGGGCTTTTGTATATGCGAAACGAACCTGAAGATTGCGCGTCTGAAAACTGACACAAAATAACCTATAAATTCCCCCTAATCCATAAATAAACACACGCGAAAAATTATTTTACCCCTAACCTACATTTAAATTCAAAGTGTTTCAGAAAATACTGAACTTGTAGGCTAGAAATTATTTTACAAAATGATGTAATTATAAACAATTTAGGAAATGTACCGTTACGCACAGCGTAACAACTCTCGCATGTTCGCTTTGTTTAGTTACTTGATTTTCTGTTAGGGAATGTTCTCAAAGTAACTAACGAAAATATGCTGTCTGTTCCATTAAAACACGACCTTTCACCTTAGCGAATAGCACGTGTGAAGCCAGAAATTTCTGCGGTCAGTTAGTTACTTTTGTATGGGCTGGTTGGTAACGTCTTTACGAGGATTCTGCGGTTATTCCCCCACGCGACTGATTTTCCGACTGGAGATTTCCCAAAGTTATTCCGCTGATTGACATGTGAGTCTTCAAGCGAAGTTTCCAACTAGATAAAAGATGGAATGCGTCGAAAAATTTTAGTAAAACTTCCCAATATAAACTTCCATGAAAATCCATTCAGCGATAACAGAGTTGTTACATCCGACAGACGAAGAAGATAATAGGTGAAATTTTTCAACACTTAGTTGCGAACATACTTGAAAAAATAAGTGTTTTAGAACAGTCAGTATAGTGACTGGCTACTAACTGGACGACCGGGGTTCGATCCCCGACGGGGGCAAAGGATTTTTCCTGTAGCCTCTTAGTCCAGATGGGCTCTGGGGCCCACTCAGCCTCCTATCCAATGGGTACCGGGATCCATTCCAGGGGTTAAAACGCGGCCGGGGCGTGATGCCGACCACTCACCCCCCATCTAGTGCCGAGGTCAAGAATTAGTAGGAGCTATACAGTCTCTCCCCCCAAGCGCCTTCATGGTGTGTAGTGGGACAGGTTTACTTTAATTTTATTATATAAACAAAGCCCAAATAAAATTCTACCATTTATCATGTCGTTCAGTTTCGAAGAAGGTGAAACCATTTTTGGTTTTTTTTGTACATATGTGACGTAACCTTTTATTCTAGGGGAAAGAAATAAACCGTAAAGACACGGAAACGTATCAAGAAAAAATCTTAAAAACCTTGCGTCCTGTTGTGTTGGTAACTTTGAAAAAAAAAACCCATCAAAATCGTCAATATATCTGTATTAATATATCACGTACTATAAAACTACATGTTTCGGCCTCTACACACATTGAGGTGTTTCTTTAAGGTTGAGAAAAAGTCAGGCTTAGCCCAGTTGAGATGAAAGTAAAAGATGTTACAAGTTATTCAGTTAAAATTGTTAAATAAAATTATGTCGAGATTTTGATTCCAACTTTGATTTAATCTCTGGTGGGAAATTGGTTAAGGCTTATTATATTTCTTGTGGGTGGAATACTTGTGTATATGACGCTGTTTCATTTGTTGGGGAAATTTCTGCGATGTAATATTGTCCCTGTTCTTATGTAGGTATTTCCTTTAATTTATGTGGTAAAATTGCGTAGATAGACCTAACAGAGTAGCTGGTTTAGCGCGTGGACTTGGATGTTGGAGGCTTTTTATGGAGGAATGTGTCCATAAAGTTAGTACCAGTTGGTTTAGAATCGTGTAATACGGTGAAATTTTCACTTTAGTGCTGATAAACCTTATGGATTCACTACCAGAGTTGACAATATGACTTGTCATTCGATCGTAATTTGAGTCAGTTCAGTCTAAGACACCGATTTATTCCATAAATCTATTGAAACATTAATCTCCTTTTTACGCGTTCGAAATTTTGCACTTAAAATAAAATAAAATAAAAGAGTTTAATTGTTATCGGATAATTTGTGAGCATGAGTAAAAACTATTACAGGTGCCGAGCATCGAACTTTGGAACTGCGTTGATAGGTCGTTTTATATTTTCAGATTCCGATTCACAATAAATTTCCGAATAGGGTAGCAATGCTTCACCTATTTATATTTGGTCAAATACGTGTGTCGTAGTTTCACTTTTACTTAACATCCCACACATGATCAGGCATTGAACGTATTTTTATCAGGAGAAAATATGACAGCAAAACAGTTTATTTAGTAAAGTAGATGTACTGATACTATTTTATTCAAAATATTGTCTTCTATCTTTATGACAATTATCAATGCATGGTCATCCTAATTTACCGATATCGCCCAAATAATTGAATAAAAAGATTAAACTTTGTGAAGTTTTCATCAATTCTTCCAAGCAAATGCCAGGACAGTAGAGTACCTTCAAATGAGACCACGACAGCTTCCTTCCATATCCTCTTCGCGTCATGATTAATTAGTCATTCTACCGTACGACACTATACGAGGTGCGATCGGAAAGTTTCAAGACTGTGTCAATAGAGGGCGAACCGGATGTAGTACGAGCTTCTGCCGGTAGGGGGTGCGGCCTACATTCATAGTGAATCAGTGTGCCAGCCGGCATCATCGAATTAGCATTTGTTTCTTAGTTACGGGCGTTTTGGTAGTGCATTACACCGACCCTCCTGCGATTTCGGAATGGCGACAGGATGCGTCGCATGTGGAGTTCTTCCTTTAGAATCAGCTGACATGTCCCATAGCCTATCCCAACAATGTCGGACAAGTCGTTTATGGTACGACGTCGATCTTCGTGAATGGCCTGCCGAATCTTCGTAACATTTTCGGGCGTTGTGCTCGAAGATGGTCGTCCAGAACGCTCGTCATCATCGACAGAAGTTCGGCCGTTTTTAAAACGTGAATGCCACACAAAAGTTTGTGCACGACCCATTGCGGACTCCCCAAATGTTTGCTTTAGCATTTCATAGGTTTCCGTAGCCGTTTTGGCGAATCTTTGGCAAGAGATTCAGGCCGAATCGCAGATGGTGCTTGACAGGCTGACAAAGAAAGATTTCCAGGGATGCTTCCAGGCTTGGCAGCGGCGCTGGGATCGTTGTGTTCACTCCCAGGGGAACTACTTCGAGGGTGATGGATGAATTTAATACCTGAGATAAGTGTACGGGTTTTTATAGGCGCAGTCTTGAAACTTTCTGATCGCACCTCGTATACAATCTTAGCTACTGACAGTGTCGTTAAATAATACACAAATTAAGAAATAAACTCAATTAGGCATAAGATTATTTGTTTCTCGTGATTTTCCTGTATCCCCAAATAAATGCTAGATTTATACCTTACAGTATACCAAGATCACTTCCTTCTACATTATTTCCAATTTCCAACGTCACATAACCAACGCGGCTAGAATGCGCCATTAAATAACATAGGAATCGTTCGAACGCGGCTAGAATGCGCCATTAAATAATATGGGAATCGTTCTGTCTAAAATGATGGAGGATCAGAAGACCATTGGGTGTATCCGAAACAGGACAAGGCTGCTGGTCCATGATGATGATGGCAGGAACGACAGAATTACATTTGTTTTCGTGTTTACTCGTTCCAGAGGGTCATTTCTCATATATGACACCGGAAATATCACGTTACGTCATAATTACCAATGGCAATGCGTAAGGCTACGATATTAGTGATTTCATGTATTTTAAACTTGAACTTCATTTCGCTTTTTCCTGTTTCAGGAACATGTTTCCGCCTAACTTGATTCAGGCTTGCATCGCCCAGGTAAGTGATTTTGTTCAGGGCACAAAAGAAAAGCGACTGATAGAAATATCCAATACTTCTTTCACAAAAATTGTACTTTCTTAACGAGGTAGAGCATCTTAGCGCTGGTGACAACTCTGTTAACGAACGTCAGCGAAAACCTCAAATGCAATAAAATCCTCTCGGGTGACAATCAGATTCAAAATGGAGGCGTAGTCCAACGTTTCAGAGACGGTATTTGTCTCCATTATTTTCTGATTATCGCCAGAGAAGATTTTATTGCATTTCGTAGCGGCGAAAGCCTCAAGTCATATGTGAACCACAAATGGTTTACAGTTTTTGACGTAAATACGTGTCTATAAGGAAGGGTCATTCGGCAAAAAGGTGTAACGAAAAAGTGTAACAATGGTTACCTAGGGAACGTCATGTTTACTCGGAATTGTTGTTACCTATAAAACATTACCTTACCTTACATTACATTCAGCTACCACAGACCCATCTTAAGCGTAACTAATTCAAGTTAAATAAGCAAAGTCTTAATCAAACTTTACTCAATTGTAAAGCATGTATAAAGGAAATATTTAGAATAAAGCCAATATATAAACTTCCTTTCCGTATAGACGTATTTACGTCTAATTATCCGGAACCGTGGTTCCACTGACAACTTTTTTTTTCTCTCCGTTATTTCTTAAATGAATTTTTGAATTAAGGCACTGTGTTGTAGTTAAAAACAGACTCGTTATAATTTTTCGTAATTAGAATTCTTAATACATACGGAATACACGTATATACATACACTGATTGAGCATCCATGGTTTTATTCAGCATGTGTAACGTTTTATTTTCACGTGTCTCCATTCTTATAGGGAAAAGATGTACAAATACGTATAGTTTTATACCTCGTAGAATTTGAGGTTTTCATGGCGTTGAGTCTGAAGATGGCTGTCTTATGGGTTGTTACTCCGTGTAGTCTGGTAGAAGTCTATGGACGCTTCAGATGGAGGCAGCAAGGACCTCTAAAACGTCGGTAAACTTCTACCAAACTAAACGGAACAACAACCCATAAGACGCTACATTATGTCATGTTTTCTAATCCTACCCGACACACTCAGTGTTCGTATGCGATCTTCCAAACACGTATTTTCCTGAAATCTACAAGAATCTACAAAGCTGAAAAGTATAAACATGACCACTTTATTTAAATTAGGAACAAATTTAATTTGACAGTAAAGATCACTGAGAAATTGGTCTATATAACTGTGAAAAATTCTACGGTCTCTCTGAGATAACATCCCAGAATGTAAATACGGTGAGCACGTGATCTACAAGAAAATATTTTCGATAAATGTTATCGAACTGCTTAGTAAAACATCGGCCAAGCTCTGGATACTTAACTCTGAGTCTTAAAATGAAGTAAACAGACCCATTGAGTTATAAGGGTTTATAATTGTGTGTATTTTAATAGTCATAATGACCTAATTAATGGAGCGATGTTGAAACAGACGTAAGGGAATGCATGAGTCAAAAACAGTACTTATTTCGTAATAAACACTCGCGGATTAAAGAAACAACGAACATCTGTGTCCATGAGAAGACAGATGGAACAGTTTTATTTTACAGAGAATGCAAATAAAGAAAAACACGTATTGACCTATATGTCAAGAGAAAAAAGTTGCTTTCTTACTTGAACAACATGCGGTCTATTCGAAGCACATTACAGAACGTAACATTTATATTGGACTGATGGATGGACAGCCATTGGAATGTCGTCATATCCGAAACAGTCCAAGGTTTGAACATGTCAGTCTTAGTCTGGACTCTGCAAGCCCTGTATGGAAATTTCGGGGGAAAAATCGAACTACAGTAACCTACCTAAACGTTTGGCTGGCTGCACCTCAAGGCAACGGCGAAACTGAAACTCCACTTTCACCAAAAATACCATCACTTCTCACTCCACTGCACCTGAACAAAACACGTGTTGTCAGTCAGTCATACAGCGCAGTTTCACGTGGAAAACACTACCGCGACTACAACGCAACTGGAGGGAGAGTTGAGAACTATCTGAGAAGCAGTCGAGTTGTGCAGTGGCTACGGAAAATATATTTCTTGGGGAAAGAGACATTTCATTCCGTAGGAGATATTTTCTCTCCCAATCTCCCTGTTCATTCACATCCAAGTAAAAGCACTCTATGTAGTGCTTTGTCTTCTTAATTTTCTCTGTCCCTTTCTCGGAGTGACGAATCAGTTTTCGTACACACAAACCAAACAAGTTCGTCAAAATGTCACCGCCTTCTTCACTGGTTTCTGTTCTGAGGCACACGAATTCAGCACTAACTAAAATATACTTCAATATAATTTACCATCTACGACTATGTCTTCCGAGTGGTCTCTTCCCTTCGGACTTCTGGATTAAAATTTTGTACGTATTTCTCATCTCCCCCATGTGTTCTACGTGCCCCGCCCACTTCATTTGATTTATTCGATTGTCTTAATGGTACCTGGTGAAGAATGCAACGTCTACGATTACTTCGAAATCCACACGCACATATAGGAATAATAGTTTACTGTGTAGTTTGTAAATTCATTTAGTTTTTCGAAGGAAAACTAGTATATGTACAGATTGTTTCTAAATAATGTGCCATACATGATATAGGAACTTCAGGACATCAATATGACATGCTTCTGTAAACATTTTGAGCACGTTAGGTAGGTTGAGTCGGTATGGTGTACGAATTCATTTACAAATCGTAATCTGTTTACTTTTTTTCATTCTGTACTTCATAAACGAGTACCAAATACCGATGTTAACAGTTCTGAGACAGTCCGCGTAAGTACCAGAGACGTATCTGTAAGCCTGGGAGTAACACAGTGTGTCAGGCACTTGTATCAGCTGACACAAATGACCGAAATTTCGTGTGCCAAAGGCTGCTTAAATTTGTCGAGGATCCAGTCATCATAAAAACACTCCAAGTGATAGATCAGTGTAGTTTAACAGATGGTGGCATGATTTACCACAACTGACTTACGTAGGCGGAGATCACTCTACGTATTTCAAGACCTGGTAACAACCATTCTCCATAGACGTCTGTACCGAAATAATAGCAGATCCAGGGATGAGGGTTTTACACGATGGACATTCCAGTCTGGCTGTAGGAAGTGGTTAGTCAGGTATTATCGCAGACGTTGGTCCGGTTGTGGTAACGAGACTGGTACCATGGCCACCAAGGTCACCAGACTTTAATCCGATAGATTTCGCTCGTGGGGTTCCATGAGAAATGTGGTTTTTGCCAAGACACACAGGATACTTCAAACTCGTACGATACCTTGGGTATTCGAACGCGTTCGAGTCTGGTTCAGATGTTGAGGAAATTTGGAGCGTTTGTTGTTATATGTGGAACAAGGAAATACTTAATCAGTGAAATATTTCGCATTTAACAGATGTTGGAATTTTATGCCCTTGAACTTTTATCATCTTATTTGTAAGCATCATTCTTACTTAACCAACATTTCAACATAATGTGCTCTTGGACTTTCACACTCTGTTACCGTTCACTAACATTTCTGGAACTTTTTCACTCGTGCTGACGATCTGAAGCTCCCTATAATTTTTGGCACATCATTTAGTAAATAAACAAGGGATGCATAGACCCCATTTGGTGATAACAGGATTAGAATGCGATACCATAGTCTCTTCCACGTTGCTGGCTTTCCAGCACCGTCGTAAGCCAAGAGCAGTGAACCTCAACTTTATTAAACTGACCCAACATATAACATATAAACGCTTACACTACGAGGACTGGATTGTTTCACGTCAAGATTTCCTGAAACTTGTTATACATTTTTTAGAATTATGAAAAGATGAAACAAACATTTTTCTTTTTCCTTGCAGTATCAGACAGTTCTTATTCCTCCTAGTGATGCAGAAATTACAGGTGAGTAAATTAAATTAAACTAAAATGAGGTTATGTATTTTATTAGATTTAATATTTTAAAAAATATATATAGTTAATTTTATTTAACTCAGCATGAGGTATAATTATAGAATTTATGGAGCCCAGTGTGTATGTTAATAAGTATTATTACCATTTTTAAATAGCTTATTAAATAGACGAAAGAATTTAAAAAAAAACGAAGTGAATTTATCTGCAAAATCTGAGTCTCATAAAATTAAACATAAATGTCAAAGGAACTACAAGGGCTTGGAGCTAGTGAATTACTAAATGAAGATTAAAATTTATTACAGGAAAAAGTGATTTGAACTTCTGTTCTAGGGACTTGCTGGCTGGACTTAACTTCCAGTAAAATTTATTACAGGAAAAAGTGATTTAAACTTCTGTTCTAGGGACTTGTTGGCTGGACTTAACTTCCACGTTACTGGTATAATATAAACAATAAAATTAATAATTTTCAATCAGTTGGTAAAACTGAAGACTTTAAAATGTACAGCAAGAAAGAAAGAAAGAAAGAAAGAAAGAAAGAATTTGATTTTATGAAATACTGGCACATTTCTACTTTGCGGAAGTGGAGATTTTAACAAAGAGATATAAAAACAGGATAGTCTATTGAAGCGAATTTTTATGAACTGCTGAAAACTGTTCTTATTTCGATATGAGAAGAATATTAAGAAAAGAGAAATATATTAGACTATTTGTAAAAAGAGACAAAATAGATGCATTCAGAACTGGACAAACTATCTTGCCAAAATATTTGATGAAATGCAATTAGATTTGATTTTGTAAGACCATCAAAATGGAAGGACATAATTAGTAGACTTCATGAAAATTGGACAGAAGTCAAAAACAGAAGAATAAATTGTACAAAAGGTAATCTTTCTGTGGGAATAAAAAATGTTATCGCGTAATTCATTAATGATAAGAAAGGAGATAATAATTATAACTAACTAACTAACTAGATGGCTTATCGAACCCGAAGGTTTATCACCGAATTAACCAAAGCCTTCCACCGGACCCTGTCCTG